TATACAGCTCGAGGACACTTCTATCCTCTCCTCAAAAACCGGCTACATGGATCGGATAATCAGGGAAGCCATCGAGATCGAACTACATCCCGATAACTTTAACAGGGAAGATGGACTTCACCTGAGCCGGTCCTGGAAGCCTCTTATTCACACACTTCGAGGACTCCGAGAGCGAGCAAGAGTGCGCCGCCAGAACCAACCAGACCACTAACATGGCCCTTTTCAGGGCCCTGATCCATACAACCAAACTCAACCTTTCTCTCTCTACTTTCTCTCCCTCTCCCACTCTCGCCCACGTGCTACCATTGGTCCACTCCCATGCCTGCTCCCATTGGCTTGGGGCAGGCTACACCTTTCACTTTCCGGCCTATAAACCTAGCACCTCACACCCTATTGGCATATTCATCGCCCTGATGACGGAGGCAGTATGACCTCAGAAACGTTGGTTAACATCAACCAGACTACACAGCGCAACAACCCAGAAGACGGATATCTTCATACTCACCGCTGTCAGAACCTCAAGTCTTACATAGATACAATCATTTATTGGGAGAAACTGAAGATTTTAATGGTAGCAGAACAAATAGGGTAAGGCTGCTTAAAGATATTTAACATGAGTGAAAAGTACATCTGAGTATGGAGATGAAAGATACTTTTTTTGCAAAGCACAGCAGCAGTCACCAACAGGCTTTCCATGTAAGCCAAGATTGTTTGCAGAATTTTTTAAAATGAAACTATTTCTATGCAAGTTGGCAGACAAGCACTGCAAACAAAGGGTCCCTAATGTGCATAAAAAGATTGTGTTTAAAAAGCACTTTCATCACAGCATGGGACAATGATAAAAAACAATTCAGATGGCAGTGATAGCACCAGTGAAACATGCTAGTAATTGCATTTCATTATCACGTTTCTATCAGTTTTCCAAGTTACTGTTACTTTAACAGCCATGTGTGCTTGTGCAGATTTCTGGAGTGGTACTACCCACACTTACAATTTTACTAGTTTTGATCTTAAAGTATTAGTGTCATTCAAAATATGTCTTTTCTTAAAATACTATAGAAAGTGGAGTACAGGTCTCATTCAAGGGTGGACAGTATCTAGAGACATATGGTACATATTCTCTTCTCAAATATACTATACCTGGGGCAACATATTTCAGATATGTGAAATGCACATGTAGGTGATAAAATGAAGGCTGATAGTGGACATAAATCCGTAACTGAGAGGATGGAATGTTGTATTTTTCCTTTATAGCTTTCTGCAAAATACAAACAATTTAAATTTATTTCACACAATGAAAGAAACACAAAAGTTAAGTCAGCAAGATGACTATTTATATACTTACTATTCCCTTCTCCTTAATGTTCTTTAAAAGTGGCAAATGACAGCTGTTCAGATCACGGAGAGACTTGATTCCAGTTTGATGAACTATAGCTATCAGATATAGATCTTCAATTTGCTTTGCATCCCACTTTAAATCTGGCAGTAAAATGAAACCAATCTCAGGATTGGAATCCTCAAACACAACTCTGTCAGTTTCTGATTTATGTTCAAGTATGTTGATGACCCACTGTAAGCAATGAACAGAAGTTAAAATGGATGTTTCTAATGTACCAACAAAATCTGTTTAGAATTCCACTAGTGTCTCCAGACTACTAGCAGAACCATTTAGAATTCATAAGGGGTATAATACAGTAGTGAAGTATCTCCAATTGCAGTTAATTCTCAAATGCCACTTTCACTCGTGTAGCATATCCTGTTTGACAGGCAGATGCTGTGATGACTAAAGACTTGCTCAAAGTTCTGGCACACGAAACACAACAAACCAACTATCAAACTTGCCACTTCCTGGCAAGCGATTAATTGCCAACCACAAGTAAACAGAGACTGTTCTTGAAAATATCCTGAGACTGACAAGTAAATGCACAATTACCAATACAACATAAATCTTTCATATAAGATAAAATTATGCCGTAGGATTATTCAGATATGATAAAATTTTATGCAGTTAGTTGACAGTACACAGTCGTATTTATAAAGCAATTGAAAGAAAAGAAAAACTATTTATTTATCAGGTGATTAGAAAACACGTTGGATAAAATAACAAAAAAGATACTGTATTCATTAACAATCTTGAACCCATGATGGGGCTAAATGACCAAGGAAAACAGCAAAATAATACATAAAATATTTCTTCCCAAAATATATGAAAAACATAAACAGAGATATACAAAATTATTACAGTATCATGTAATGACAGTTAATAAAAATATTAGTAATAAAAATTAAAAGTAATATAAGTGAAATATAAGTAAAATTAAATTCTGTAAGACAGACATTATGGATGAATTATTTTCATGAATTATGGGCCTAACAACAAGAAATAACCAGCAGCCAAACACATAGAACCAGTAACTTCACAAAATTATATAATAGCCTAAAACAAGCATAATCTGTACTGGAATTAAATTCTGAATGCTCTTACATGACACATATGCTATGCAAGCTTTGTCGCAAGTATCATCTGCATAAGCACAGCAAAAGCTCACTGGTGAAGTAAACATATGTGTATAACTTCAACATTATGATTTACTCATTAACTTCTATCACCTAATCTTATTCACAAACAAAATGAGCAAACTGCTACACAGCAATTACATATGCAATGTACATACTTTTAAATATTGTCATTAAAATGAATGGCCATACATGTTAATATTTCATTACTCTACTGATTTACCATTAGAGTTTATTTAAAACCACCATCATAGTTTTAGATTATACAAAGAACTACTTTACCACAGCTGTGTATTTTTCAAAAACCTATAAAAACACACTGTATGATAAAATACTATGTGGTGCTATTAGACCCCACCTCACAAGTTCATTCGTTCCATCCACCATGTTGTTAGAGTCCACTTTGGGAATTAAAAATCCTCCAGTGGTACAATGTTCATACAAAATATGAAATAAATCTGTCCAGCAATTCTCGAGGTAAATCATGCAGGCAGGCAGAGTCATTCAGACAGACGGGCTCAGCCCTATATGCATTCATTTCATGCACATTATACAAAGAACTTTCCATGTTAGGACACAGGTTAACTTATATTAGTGCATTGACAAGAATTAATGCACCTGTTTAAAGATTTTCAATGTAACATCTCCACTACAATATTTACCTGCAAACTAAATTTTTCTTTCTGCAGATGTGGCAGTGTAACTGAATTATAGAGTTCTGGTGTCTCCTCAATCAGATGAACGTCTTGTGACTGATATTTTTTTATGTGCTTCTCTGTTGCTGGATGTATCACTGTGGTTTTAATACCTAATAATAAAAGCCAATAATGACAACATTAGTAATGTTTATTTATCAGGCAAGAGCTGTTCAGCTGATTTTCTTTTAACTTACTTGTATTTACACCTGGTTACTCCTGTCTTTAGTTACCAAACCTACCATAATTACTTCATATTTTCACAAGACTGATTCCCACTGAGTTCACATGGCCCAAAGGTGCACTTTAAATATTTTAAATTATCCAATATGATGTGTATTTTTCCATAACAGGTCATTAGCCACAAACACAACCTGGTGAAATGAGTCAGTTATGTGCACAATGGAATCTTATCAACACTCACTTTCATGCATATAAGCAATGTGTATTATTTAATATGAAACACATGATAGCATGCCCCAATAGTAGTGAACAAATTACTTGGAAAGCCACAAGAACATTGCTGTTGCATGCCAGTAGGTGCATTCAGAGCTACATGGGAATTTAAACACAGTTCCATAACCTTACAACATTTTTAATGCCTTCCCAATTTATCCTTTACTTACACACACTATAACATATTCCAGTTCTTCAGGAGTGCTTACTACAGCATTACTTTTTTCCTTTATAGGAAGCGTCACGAAAACGACAAAATCGACAGCATTGTGAGGCCTGTGGCTTCTTCAAAACTCAGATATCAAAACATCATGGAATCAGTTAATTTATTAACTTTTTCAGCTAAACAACTAACACCTTTGTTCCACAGCATGCACAAGAACGGCAAATTCTACACTAAATTATGGCACACATTCGAGGAATATGAAAATACTGTCACTCACCATTGTATTTTACACTAGGAAAACATTCGTAAAATCCATATATGTCATTGCTGAATTCCTTATGTAATGTGCAAGAATAATCCAATGTGTTCTTCAGGCTTTCTTCATTAAACGGCTTCTTTTCTAACAACACAATTGCCGTTCCGCTTTTGTTATTAAATGAGCCCTCAATGCATATGGTTTTCCTCTGACTGTTAATACTTAAAATTCGTTTCTGTTGGAATTCTGAAAAGTCTTTCAATACTGTATGTATATTTTCATCATTCTCTTGTATATCACTTTGAATTTTTATCTTTTTTGATGCCGGTTCACATTCTTTAGCACCATCCGCCATATTCATAACGTGATCTGTGCATGGCCGACTATTTTTCTAGACTTGCTTTAATCTGTGGTATGAAAGCTAGTTCCTGTGGTAATTCGAACAGATCAGAATTTTAATGAGCTTTTTGTGTTACGGTGTTTTGCAAACTAAACACACGACATACGCAGTGCCCCTCCTTCAAGCAAAACTTTTTTAATTTTATAAATAAAAACTTCTCATTTTGATTCATGATCATGTTCAATAACGCTTGGCACAAATATGCATATTTAGATGACAGAGAAAGGATGGGAGGTAAGAAATTGCACAAAAAAATTTGCTTTCAAAATGAACTCATTTTAATACATCAGCAAGCGCTAACGGACAGGTCGCAACATTATGGAACAAAATTCTTACAATACTGGTAACCCAAATTGAAACAGGAGTAGAAACTTAGTACTCCTCTGCCCCCTCTCCTTCGCCTTCAACAGAATCCATGCCTACTTCCTCATAATCCTTCTCCAGGGCTGCAAGATCCTCGCGAGCTTCAGAGAACTCGCCTTCTTCCATACCTTCACCCACATACCAGTGAACAAAGGCACGCTTAGCGTACATGAGGTCAAATTTGTGGTCCAGGCGAGCCCAGGCCTCGGCAATGGCGGTTGTGTTCGACAACATGCACACCGCACGCTGTACCTTTGCCAGGTCCCCTCCAGGAACCACAGTTGGTGGTTGGTAGTTGATGCCAACCTTGAAGCCAGTTGGACACCAGTCCACGAACTGGATCGTGCGCTTCGTCTTGATGGTCGCTATGGCAGCATTGACATCCTTGGGAACAACGTCCCCTCTATACAGCATGCAGCACGCCATGTACTTGCCATGTCTTGGGTCACATTTTACCATCTGGTTGGCAGGCTCGAAACAAGCATTTGTGATTTCAGCTACAGACAGCTGCTCATGATATGCCTTCTCAGCTGAGATGACAGGGGCATAGGTAACCAGAGGAAAGTGGATGCGGGGGTAGGGCACCAAGTTAGTCTGGAATTCGGTCAGGTCAACATTCAGAGCGCCATCAAACCGGAGAGAAGCGGTAATTGAGGATACAATTTGGCCAATCAGCCTGTTCAGGTTGGTGTAGGTGGGGCGTTCAATGTCCAGGTTACGTCGGCAGATGTCATAAATGGCTTCATTGTCAACCATGAAAGCACAGTCAGAATGTTCAAGAGTGGTGTGGGTGGTGAGGATGGAGTTGTAGGGCTCAACAACAGCTGTTGAAACCTGAGGGGCGGGGTAGATCGCAAACTCCAGCTTGCTCTTCTTTCCGTAGTCAACCGACAGCCTTTCCATAAGCAGAGATGTAAAGCCGGAGCCAGTGCCACCACCAAATGAATGGAAAATCAGGAAACCCTGAAGACCAGTGCACTGGTCGGACAGCTTTCGGATGCGGTCCAGTACGATGTCCACAATCTCCTTGCCGATGGTGTAGTGACCTCGAGCATAGTTGTTAGCAGCATCTTCCTTTCCGGTAATCAGCTGCTCAGGGTGGAATAGCTGTCTATAGGTTCCAGTGCGAACTTCATCTGTGGACACACCAGTCAACGTCCAATATCATCAACATTATACTTTACTACATTTCAACATGCATTTCCCAATACTATTGAACAGGATGCTCCTTTGCTTCACTTATAAGATTTCAAATGTACATACCTACTACTGTGGGCTCCAGGTCCACAAAAACTGCCCTTGGTACATGCTTTCCTGCCCCAGTTTCACAGAAGAATGTGTTGAAGCTGTCATCACCACCTCCAAGAGTCTTGTCAGATGGCATTTGACCATCAGGCTGAATACCATGTTCCAGGCAGTACAATTCCCAACACGCATTTCCGATCTGCACGCCGGCTTGCCCAACATGAATTGAAATACACTCACGCTGAAACACAACACTACTTCAGACTACCCTGTCACATTACAAGATATTGAAAAACCATGACCTTTCATATGCTATTAAGTGAAACATGAAATTACAGTACCTTATGAATTTCAAAAATGTTTTAGAGCCACAGTTCAAAACCCACACATATGGAAGCAGTGATTCTTCAGACAATGCCACATCAATGCATGTAGAAATATATACAACCGATGCATCATCGGTCACACAAATCCCTTCTTAGCAACATGGAAACTCATTTCATACAGAACCTCACTGATCGTTCCAAGTTTATAACAAATTAATTCCAGACTCAACTTTCTCTTACAAGGAAATTCCATCATTTATTCAACCCTTAATAAAAATTTTTGAATATTCAGTGGCAATAGTTCCTGCATTGCCGACATGCAGCAACTGCCACGAGGAAGCAAAATTAATTAAATTTAGGTTATATGATTAAGTATCACACAAAATTAAAGATTCATATTACTTTCGCATTAATTCGAAGCCAGAACTTACATTTTATTAATCACAAGTAATAACGTATTTTGCAGAGGTAGCACATTCAATTCGTGAAAAACATTGTATCAAAGAACACAGCGAAAATTACTTCCTTAAAATATCTGAAATGAGCGAAATATAGTACTCACCATTGTGGTAGATAATTTGACGACCTATAACAAAAACCGTCTTAATTATTCGACGTTGTTTGAGAGAACCAAGCAACGACGATTCTCCAAACCGACAATCAGGCCAAGTGACGCTAGCCCTTGTATGTATATAGAACTGTGGCATCATAGAATGCAGACACCTCATTGGTTCTCCGATGGGTATGTGATGTCATACGGGTGCGGTTATCCACGACACGCCACCTTATTGGCGAATTTAAACAGGAATAATTTGTACAGCAATTTAATCTATAAACGATTAAAGTATAGTATTAATAAAGACATAATCTGTTATGAAACAATTCATTTTAAACCGAAATATCAAGCAAAATATTTGTTTAATTTTAAACGGCTTTACACTGTTGCCTACATAAAATACGGTATTTGGGGTGGGGTAAGATGCCGGAATGGCCTATCGCCGTTTAAGGATCGGAGGGGGAAATGAAACGCGTCATCATATTGTGGAGGTCATGTCATAATCTCTACATGCCACAGTTGAAGTGCAAATGCGCACTTCATTATAACGCAGATTAAGTAGGAGTAACATGCATTTCCATTATACATATTACTTTTCATACTCTGTATGTTAAACAATAAACCATTTATTGATTGTGCCTTTCAAAGTTGTGACCAGGTACTCTGTTAGTCACAAATGACAAATTTTGTTGTTTGAACCAATGATACAATATCCGCCCACACATCAGTAATCTTTGTTTCCAAATGCATGCTTTCATTTTGTTCACTTCATGTTTCGATCTAGTGAGTGCCATATTCAGGTGTGGGCAGATTTTTGTGTTGTTGAAAGATACCTACACAGCAGTGAATAACATGAACAAACTTTTACAGATATGTGAAAGATGCAGAATTCTATGGCTATCCGAATAAAGCACAGAAATTTTATATAAGTGATCTCAAATGTATATGAGTATTTGTCTTACTTCTCTAACTTTATTAACAGCAGGTGAAAATTCCCACAACTTCAATTCTCCATACCTTTTGAGTTACATAAGCACATCATTCTCATATTAATTAAAACCAACAAACTTACATTTACTGTTTTAGGTTTGACATCAGCAAAGGTTGTATAAATAGTTTGCAACAGTTCCGGTGTAAATGGGGGCATAGATGCAGTTCTTGAAGTGGGTGGTTTGAGGGTGAAGGTCCTGGAAAAACGTGACAGTATATTGAACCACATTTATGGTACAGAAACAGTTGAAATCATCCAAGAATCAGAGAAGTGAGATGCTGACCCCAATACTTCAATCAAACCAGAAAATAGTAAGAGTTTAACACTGTTTACAACACAGAACAGGGATTGTGGTCTGGCTTGAGACACTGCTTTACCAATGTTTCTGCTGAACTTATTGCCCCTGTATTTTACCCTAAAGATGTAGGCAACAGGTTTCATCAAAACATTAGTGACTATCTACAAGACTGTGGTGTCCAATCCAGTTTTTCACAGTCATGGCAGGCAAAGGTTTGTACAGATGAAAATTGATATTTATATTTTTGAAATAACCTTAAATATTGAAGAGATAATCAGATGCTGGTTTTGGTATCACATATATATACATATTTTAGTAACTAATAAAAAAACACTTGTGCTTATAGAATAAATTGCCAGCAGACATTTGCGGCCCCATGTTCATAGGAACATTTTTTCTTATTTTTGATCCTGGAACACGCATACAAAGTTTGTAAACATACTTCTGAATCACTCTGTATAAAAAGGGTGAAAAATCCTGCATCTCTAACTACAGACCTATTTCACTGCTGACAACATTTTCTAAAATTTTTGAGAAAGTTATGTGCAAGAGAGTAAATAATTTCTTAAACTCAAACATCCTTGTAGAGGAACAATTTGGATTTAAAAAAAATCTCTCCACAGAAAAGGCTCTATTTAGTTCCACTAATGAAATTGTATGTGCCCTTAACAATAAAATGCATGTGGGTGGAATATCTTGTGACCTAGCCAAGGCATTTGATTGTGTAATACATGAAATATTACAAACGAAACTGAAATTTTATGGTATTCGAGGTATAGCAGGACAATGGTTTAAATCCTACCTAAATAATAGAAGGCAGCAAGTAGAAATTAAAAGCCCCCATACCAATCATAATACCTATTCAGAATGGGGTATCGTAAATCACGGAGTGCCACAAGGTTCAGTTCTTGGACCCTTTCTTTTCCTCATATATATCAATGACCTGTGGGCAACTATAAACTCTATGTCCAAACCTATTCTTTTTGCTGATGATATAAGTATCATTATTACACACCCAGAATTGATCTACCTTGAAAGTATCATGAATGATGTCTTTGCCAACATAAACAAATGGATTAGAGCTAACAAACTGGCACTGTGGTCAAGTTTGCCGACGTTTCAGATATGCTTGTTGGCTTCATCATTAAAGCGTCCTAAAACGACGATAAAATTCTACAAGTCTACAAGGGTAACAAACCAGAAACCATCTTCTTACCGCCGCTCTGAAAATCTGAAATCTCACAAGTTTTAAGAACCTAGAATACATACACCTTAACACATATAGGATTTGAGACTTTCGCGGCGAGTACAATCAATAAAATCTTCTCGGGCAAACAGCCGCGTCAACTGGTTCCCGAAACGTCGGCTTACTACGGTAATCTGTTGACGAGGCTGATTGTCCGAAAAGATTTTATTGATCTTAACACATCTGTAAACTAATGTGGCTGTTCCGTTTATAATATATTTCCTATGTACGAGGCTCGTCCTTAAAGTAAGTTTCCCTGGGGCCGTTTACAGAAACAAAACACAATTTCATGGGAATATTTATTGCAACAGATACAGCAAGTGTCTAGCTATTTTTCAACATATTCGCCACCGGATTTGAGACATTTGTCATACCGTGGGACCAACTTTTGAATACCTGTGTCGTAGAAGTCTGCCGCCTGGGATTGGAACCACTGTGTGACAACCATCTCCGCCTCTCTTTCATTCTCAAAACGCTGACGCTGACGCTGACCGGACAGGAATTTCTTGAGGTGTAGGAAAAGATGGAAATCACTGGGAGCGAGGTCCGGGCTGTAGGGTGAATGATTAAACACCTCCCAGCTGAACTCCTGCAGGAGACTCGCTGTCTGTCGAGCCGTGTGCGGCCTAGCGTTATCACTGACCGCACTTCACAGTCGGCGGGAGCTGGAATAAGAACCTCCATCTTCAACAGCTGCAACGATGCTACTGTGAGAACGCGGGAAGTGCCGTTAGTGCATGAGCCATGCTACGTCATTGCTCTATCACGTACGCACAGTCGCTTCGCGCAATATAAGGTTTGCTAGCTATGGGAAACTTACTTTTGGGACGCGCCTCGTACTATACAGGTATCAAGTTATTTAATAATCTTCCACCAAGAATTAAAAGTCTGAATTATGATATAAAGGTATTCAAGCCTGCATTGAAAGATTACCTCTTCACTCACTCTTTCTATTCTGTTGATGATTTCATCTCTGCTGAAAATTTTTAAGCTTTATGTATATCTATAATCTGTATGTAAAGCAAGTATTGTATTTCTATTTAAAATTCTGAGGTTTATGTACATTGATATGTGAAATACGTTCTTGTACTTGTGTTGAAAGTTCTGAAGTTTATGTATATTGTATGAAGGATCTATGGAATGTAAATAAACTCTACCTCTACTACTGCACAGTGCCCCTCCTTTAAGCAAAACTTTTTTTATTTTTATTTTTTTGGCTATTTTATAAATATAAACACTTCTCATTTTGATTCATGATCATGTTCAATAACGATTTCAAAGTAAAATTAACCCTTTCAACCTAAGCTCATATAAACCGTATTTAAAAATTCAGTCCGTACCGCAAAGAAAACGCTTCTCACTAAAAACACGAGTTGGCCAATCCTATATAAGGAAGTTATCACTGTTCAATAATCATATGAAACTGATACATTCTGTGGACAAAATGCATTCAATTTTTAAAGCTTTCATTTCATTCCATCAGTCCAGACTTGCAATTTTCTGATAAAGAATAAGAACATAGGGAAGGTTTCAAATTCCCACAATGTGCATCACTGCTGAGAAACTAAATAAATATTTGTGAGAACACTGCTCCAACCAGAGCAGCAAAACTGCTCCCTCATCATTTTTCTCCCCCACCCACGTGTTCCTGCCAAATTTAAATGTTAGGAAGCTTAAACTGCTTCAAACTCACCACAGATTCAGCTCTATTCAGACACACTCTCCGGCAGAGGCTGAGCCCATATTTTCTGCACATCAAGCATTGTGCAACTTAACCCTTCAATTTAGTAAACACCGAAGGACAGAGTGCATCACATCATTAACAAAACTCTTCACGATATATTCCTGCAAGCCTCATACATCTTATAGAGATATCTAACATGCCATGGATTTCCGATGGGAAGAAAATATACTTTGGAAAGCTTTTTCAATCTGTAAAACTGCACAAGCTATAAATATATGTAACTTTTTACTGCAAAACAACTAAAGGACTGAGAAGAAGAAAGCAAAAATACCAAGTTCTACATGTGTAAGAAATACCTGTAATTATACACATTAAAATCATACTTCTGTAACAAATAAATATAATATATGCATGTACCATTATTCTTAGAGAAATGGAATTGAAGGGGTCTACATATAAGCATTAAAGGGCAGTGTCCTCAATATGTGGCATAACTTGACAAATTAAACTAATGGTAATAAAGTATTCCCCTTCCACAGACTGCTGATCTTACAGTATTCCAAAAATGTGTGTATTATATTGAATATGAATTATATAAAACCACGACAATTTCAGATGATGGCCGTCTTCTGGGTTGTTGTGCTGTGTAGTATGGTAGAAGTCTTACTCATCACCCTGATGATGGAGGCAGCAAGGAACTCTGCTGTGACTCCTAGTACTAGCAATACAGACACCAATATCCTTACTATTATAGTACATCCTTGTAGTAAATGAGGATTTATTCCAAATGCCTCACTGATATTCAAATCCAGTGAACAGGTAGGTACAGTTCACAAATCAGGAGAAAATCCCTGCTAGGAATTCGATATACACGCATGCGCAAGATTTCGCGGTGAGTGACAACCCATCCTAAAAGCATTCGTTCCACAACCACTGAACGAACAACAGACGACAGGCTTTCATGTGTTCAAATGGGTACAGCTTTAAGTTTACCTCACAGTGGCACAGTGATTTAATCTAGAATATTATCGCAACACCCACAGAACACATTACAAGTGCGCTCACTACACGCTACTCTTAACTGCTTGATGTTTTCAGTCTGTGTGCAGTAGAGTAAAACTCTAACGTATCACACTTCCCACCAATAGCAGCCCTCTAGTCCAGATAAGTAACATTACCCCCGCACCAAAAACGACTTCCCCCAGCAGGGTTTTCATCGTCATCTGTGGACAGTAGGTAGGCAGGTAGTTATCGTAGAAAATCAAGTGACAGTGTTATGACTGGGTACAGGAAAAACTGAACTTAGATCATGCTATGCCTTGGTACTTTATAATGCACCATGCCAAATGTATAGATCATCATTGATCCTAGTTCAATCTCTCTCTCTCTCACACACACACACACACACAGGATATTCATGACTGACTCAATGACAGAAATATACCCCATAGTTCTACCATTTCCAAATATGAGCTGTACAAGATTATAAAAAACAAAAAGCCTAAACCTAAAGATAACAAGGTAGATTCACACCTTGAACAACATCGATATTCTGTCTTCCATTTTCCACCTTGTTATCCAAAACATAATCCAGTAAAAATTAGTCAGAATTTGATGTCTAGGTTTCACGATGTTCCATACAAAAAGCTTTGAAAAACTGTGACTTGACATTAGATAATATCATAAGAATTTTGCAGTACCTACATCAATAAGCAACTGTTCAGCTTAGTAAAGAATGCCATGACAAGAACTAGGATGCATCTTACTTATGAACACTTGGAGGGATGCACTGTAAATTGCAACAACAGAAAGTAAACCTGATACTGACAGAATACTCCAGCATAAGCAGTGTAAAGTATCTCACTGACGACTGATTTTACTGAGTAATATGTTAGCCTCTTTGCTATAGTACTAACAGACCTAATTCAGTAGCATTTTAAAAAATTACCATGGTGTTTCAATAAATTGTCCTCATGTATAATCTTAAGGCCTGCAAGGTAGCAAGAAAGGGTAAATATGGCCACACATCTGAAAAGTTTGACAACCCCTGATTTATTATATTATGATACAAGAACCAAAACAAATTAACATCTAAAAATAAGAAAATAAATGGAGAATTGTATGTGACCTTCCATACCTATAAATTTTAATTACATTGCCTTTGCTATATAAAGAAGAATCTGTCTTCTGATATGCACACTTCAGTTTGTTCATTCATTCCAACATGTAGAGCAAAAATGCACAATCCAGATCAGGTATGCAGTTGCGATTACAGGTATGAGAAGTGCCAGTGCTTTGTGAAGTATTCCTGTTTATGCAAATGAGATCAAAAGCTAATGTAAAAAATCTTCCAAAATGGATGTAATGGATTTATTCCAAAACAAAGAAATGTGTCACAATAAAATGTTTGCTCTTAATCCTGTCTTTATTACAGTTCACAGTAAACTACTTACTACTCTACTGGAGAACTATTGTCCATTCCTCAGCAATACTCACAGCAGGTTTCCTCACAGTAAGACTTTGTGTTTCACTATTATACATTGTTTCCACAGTCACTCTGCCCCCACCTGAAGCAAGAAGCAGGATGGTTTTTAGAGTTTGAATAATAACATGCAAAAGTTTTACATATTATATAATAATTCCATTTAACAGCCTGAAAGTCTGTGCAAATGGCATGTCAACATTTCAAACAGTTATCCTGAGATATGTTTTTGAGTTGTAGTTTTCCTCGATAAGTAAGAAAATGTTGGCACAGTATCTTTAAAAATAACCGGGCACACTTGGCACACCGTTCCAGTGACTTCAGTACAAATCTTGGACCTCATCCAGAGCTCTTTGATACAGTATCATAAAACAACTTCAATCAACCAAGACATTAATGTTTCCTGTGTGTATCTAATTCATTAATCATTAATCATCTGATTATTAATGTAAGAAAAAAAATGGCAAATTTAAGTTCTTACTTTTACTCTCCACTTGTGCATTGGTCACTCCTGGTGGCAAACCCAAAATCACAACTCTTTCCAGCCAGGATCTAGAAGGATACCATGCAGCATCGAGGTATCTGCATTACAAACGAAAGACATAAAAAAAGAGAGAAACTAATATATACTGCATCATAATGAATCAAATAGCACATGTATTAGTATTTATCTGAACACTGCTAGACATAAGAGCCATCACAGAAATAGGAATGAGTTTCACTCAAAGTGCTTAAATTAACATATTGAAAAGCAAATAACCTGCTAAAATAAAGTGCTGTTGTTGAAAAACACACGTTACAAGGGGGAGGAACCTGGCCAACACAACTTTACACTGTGCTATTATTACCACTAAAATGATGATCATGATCTATGACAACAGTTCATGGAATCTAATGAAAAAGAATGGGGAAGTGTGGGAGAGAGGAGGAAGCTTGGTTCACAAGCTCCTGTTGTACAAACCTTCAGTGTATTTAACATGAAGTTAAAATAACGTGTAAGAAAAGAGCACATAAATCATACTAACAAAATAATCTAACACAGATTATCTGGAATATGATGGGTGTGTTTATCCATGCATTTATATAGTGGCCATCAGAAACACCAACAGCAGGTAGCACTAATACCTCAGTGGGATCTCTGATCATGAATTATTCATGATGAAAATACAGAATTTATCATCCATGCTCTTGTTATTATTTGTGTTGTTTCTCCTCCATTACCTGAATGATCAACATTATTGTTTAGTAAGATATTTTCTCTCATTTCATCAGTTTAAGCTGATATTTCTGTGTGTCATAAGGTCATATACAGCTACTTCCTTCCCAATATTATAAAATAACAGCTGAGAGAAAGCAACCTTCTGGAATATTCTGACTCATTGGTCATCAATGTGAAAACTCTGTACAAACTTTTACTGCCACCAGAAGTGCTTTGTAAATATTATATATACATTTACTGTCATTAATGTTATATATTGCCTTTACTGGTGGCTATCTAATTAAAGACAGGGGCCATCAACGTTTTCCTGAAGGAAACTGGGATGTTATTTCAATTCCCAAAGAAGCACCATATGCCTGCTCACACTACCCCCTCCCCTTTCCCCACACATTTTTATCAACAGTATCAAATGCCTTCTTGGTGTACAGACACATAAATTGTATTAACAAGCTAAATTCTGCATTTTTATTGATATTTTAAGAAAAGAAGAAAATTAAAAGAAGACTAATGTAAACAACCCACTTTTACATAAAAACATCTCATAATTCTTACATTAACTATATCAAAACATTTAGGTTTTAAACATTTAATAGAGATTCTGTATACAAACTTAAACTACTGCTATCTCAGTAGATTTGTTCATGATGCTGACAGTTTGTATTTTCAGTACTCATGTTCAGTACTATGGGTAACTTTACATTACATGAGAAAAAGTATTTTATGATTTCCAGAAGTAGACAGTATCAAAATTGGGCTCAGTATCTAATATTTGTATAGATTTATATGATCGGATATCTCTTTCCGTATATAGGCCAATAAATCCTGAATATACTGGTATATTCTTCACCTGTTCAGACATTTGCTGAACTATGGTGCATAGATACTTAGCTTAGTAAACCTAATCACAAGATTATGCTAGGAGATCATGCGCTTTGAAGGAGTATGCTATTGTGGTCTGATCTGAGCACTTAATAAAATAAAGTAAAACTGTATACCTTGAGCTTAATTTGTTCCCATTAAATTCCAGGGATAAATATAAATACTTCTGTTTTCTGTAGTCAAAACTCTGGCCATCATCAATGTATAATGTACCTGATGCAGACCCCTGAAACAAAAACACACAAATTTCTCATTGACTGAGAAGATGCCTATACTAGTGTTTGACAATACACAAACAATGATATTGTTTTATTTACTGTAACAACATAAACCACAAAGCTCACGAAAAGAATCTAGTGGCTGCTTCCAACCAATTCTTCCAAATTTTGAAAATAACAAGTCATACTTATAAAATATTTCATGAGAACTCAAATAAGCCCAAAACTCTTCCAGTACAATTCCAAAAGCTATGTGATTTGAAGGAACAGACATACAACATACAACATGAGTGTATTTAGGTAAGACAGGAAATATATGACAGTCATAATGATCACAACTGATGAAAAATTGACAGGACTTACTACTACTACAAGGATTGGGCCTATTAACCTGTTCCGGGACAGCTGCTCAAGGTAACCTGTCCTTATTAGTCTTGTAGAGTGCATTTGAGTAGTGAGTGACAAGCCCACTGCCTTTGCACAATTTCTACTCAATCCTGATTTGTCTGCTAGAGACATCTAGTAGTGAATCAGAAGAGATTTGGGTAAAAAATGACCACTGAATTTTGCTTACGGAACATCTCGTATCATGTTCATAACTAGGGTTCGGATGTTCATGACATGTCATATTTTTATTGGGGCTTCTATATTCATTCAAAACTGAAATTAAACACTTACTGGGTTATCCTAATCACAATTATGCTGTTTTTATTTTGCATATAAATGCATATTTAAGTCATTTTTATGTTTTTGGTCATATTTGTAGTTAAATGCATATTTTGGTTATATTTTGAGGATAAAATTCATATTTTGGTTATATTTTGGGTATAAAATATTTACTTGTGAATCCTTCAGGTTAGTTAAGATGCCAAAAATAAAGTGTTCTGAAAGTGCCAAGTTAAGAGGTTTCATCAAAGATTTCAGCGAGGAATATTTTAGTTCTGATGTAACAATTCTGTTCTGTAAACTTTGTGAAGCTAAAGTTACAGCTGGTAAGGGATTTAATGTGCAACAACATTGTGATATGGCAAAACATAAAAATAATTTGAGCTGAAAAAATAGTCCTCAAAGCGAGCAACGACTTCTGTTCAATAAAACTGGAACACCTTCACCATCAAACAAGGCATTGGAATTTTCAAAGGACCTGTGTGAAATAATGGCGTCTTGCATTATACCATTGAACAGACTGAACAATGAGCAGTTCAAATTTTTCTTCGAGAAGTACATGACTCAGTTAATTCCAGATGAATCAACACTACGAAAAAAATATGTACCTGCCTGTTATGAAGATGTTCTGAAAAGAATTACATGTACTGAGGGCGACAATAAGATTTGTGTTTCGATTGATGAAACAACAGATGTCTGCGGCAAATATGTAGCGAATTTCGTTATTAGCACGCTTTTTGTTGACCGTCCTGGTGATTTATTCCTTCTTGATACAGTAAAACATTTCTCTATAGCTAAATTTTCGATAACGCCATGAAATGTTTATGATGTCTCAAGTTACAAGACCATACTGTGCAACAATCCAAGAAGATTTTCATTTGAGACAATGAAAATGCACATCGTTATATATTGTAATGCTACCAAGAAAGGAGAAGTACTTAATATTTTGAATTTTGTTTATTTATTTATTTGTAATTAACGAAAGGCTCCTTCTTCAAATTTATCTTATTGTTATAGGAGCACGTATTCTCAACATCTGATGCTGATCCAAAACGAGGCATTTACAACTTAAAGCGACTAGGAAATCGAGTAAAGTAATAGTTGTACATGCATATGTAAACAAATAGCATGATTAAAATACAAAACGGTTTTTTTTAAAGTTTAGCGAATACTTTTTCATAACAAATTAGGTCATATTTTGCCTGTTTTGGGTCATATTTCGCTATTTTTGGGGCATATTTCTCGGTTTTTTAGGTCAAGAACATCCGAACCCTACTCATAAGATTCTTTTACATGTAGTAAATCAACAACATGGGAATGCTGGCTTTACTCCCCCTCCGAAGGAAGTTGTGCTACAGATTTTTATCACCCTTAAAAATCCATCGACCTCGGCCGAGTTTGAACCCACAAACCTTGGGTAAAGTGGCAAGCACGCTAACAACCAATCCACCAAGGGCAACCAGGACTTACTACAAAGACTGAAAATTTGAAGCATAAACTGTATGGATTTCTTCCCTTCTGTTATATTTGAAAATTTACATACCAAGATCATAAATTGCAGTGACACTATCATACCAAATGATAAATAAAAATAAAATATATTATAAGTATTCCCAGAATACATAGCACACTCCAGAAATGTAATACAAAACTCCCAAGAAAATTATGGAGTGAACCAAGTTTGTCAGATTTTCATTCCAATAATTAAGGTGAACACAAACTTTCCTGAGTATGTGAAGTGGCATCAAGAAGAGAATTTAAATATCTATGGACCTTAAGTACAAACTATGAACATGGAGCAAAGACAAGATATAATTAATGCAGTCCAGAATTAAAAACACAAACAGAAAAGATGTGTTCTGTATTCATTCAATAACTAATATAATCTTGAATTTTGCATTAGATCTTATTTTACCTTTCTCATTGTATTACTCTACACAAAGGACTTACATTTCTGTCTACTGCCACAAAGAGAGTATAAGGATCATGATGTGTGAGTGAAGATGATCTCCGAATCCTTTCTTTCTTTGAAATAATGGTTCCACCTTTTTGGAATACTGGAATCTATAAAAAGAAATACAAAACATGAAATCATTAGCTGCAACAGAACTTCACTGCCATATGAGTCCTAAAAAGGTGACAGAAAGACATGGATGAGCCCATATGGTGTACTACACTCATACTAGAGCTTGAAGAATACCTAAAAAGGGCTGATAAAATTAAATTATAATGCTACAGTACATCAGCTACGTACAGTCTTTAGCAAAGTCTACATATGACTCACAAGAAAAAAGTTCTATGCCTATCTAATATAATTTAAAACACTCAGAAAATTTATTTAGGTTAATTTACTGTACTGAAAAGAACATACAGCAAGGTTCATTCATTAAAATTACCGTCTGATTAATTTGTAATTCACAATAGCTTAAAAAGTGAATGTTTCATTACTATTACTTTTTATTTAACTATAGTGCCCCAAACTGGTGGCACCCCAAGCCAAAACTAAAACCTGCAGACATTAAAGACTGTGTAACAGGATATGATATGGGAAGAAAGACACTGTACATGGACATTTAAGGGCTTATTTTACATAGTACATGGAATTAGTGAAAGGAACACTGGTATGTTTTGTTATTGGTAATTCTCTTCAAAAACTTGTACCAGTGCCAATTTATATCATTGTAGGTAAACATTTGCCTGATACATTTAGAATTCAGAATGGCCAAGAAGTCCAAGAAAAACAGGGTAGTTTGGAATTGAACAGGACACATAAGCCTTTGGTCTATGCTGATGATATTAATCTGCAGGGCGATAATATAAATACTATAAAAGCGAACAGAGAAACACTCTTGAGGGCTAGTAGGGATGATGGCCTAGAAATAAATGCAGGAAAGACAAGGTATATGATTATGTTTCACCATCAGAATCCAGGACAGAACCAGAATATAAGGACACCTAATGAATTGTTTGAAAATGTGACAAAATTTCAGTACTTAGGGATGACACTAACAAGTCATAATGACATTCATGACAAAATGAAGACCAGATTAAATTCAGGGAATGCTATCATTCAGTCCAAAATCTTTTGTCCTCTCATCTAATATATATAAAAGATCTAAAGATTAATACATACAAAAATGTAATTTTGCCAATTGTGCTGTATGGGTGCAAAACTTGGTTCTCACTTTGAGTGAGGAACATAGATGAGGGTCTTTGAAAACAGTGTTGAGGAAGATATTTGGACCTAAAAGGCAGGGAGACAGATCATAGAGAAAACTGCATAATGATGAGCTTCACAGTCTGTACTCCTCATCTGATATTGTTAAAGTGATTAAATCGAGGAGGATGAGGTAGGTGGGACATGTGGCACGCATGGGAGAGGGGACGGGTGTTTACAAGGTACTGGTTAGGAGGCCTGAGGGGAGCAGACCACTGAGAAGACCTAGGTGTATGTGCGATGATAATGTTAAGATGGAGATAGGAATCAATGGAGTGAATCAGATGCAGCTAGCTCAGGACAGAGTCTGATGGTGGGATTTTGTGAACACAGTGATGAAACTTTGGGTGCCATAAAGAAAGCGGGCTACTCTTTGAAAAGCTGAGTATACAACTGGCTTTTCAAAGAATTTCCTGCACCATAGAGTGAGTGAGTAGGGGTAAAAAGACAATTCACACATTATGTTGTGGTACCTTGCTAATTGTTACAGGTATTTTAACTGTGCCCCCTCCTTGAATTTTCCTGTGGGTGTCTATGTCATACCAAACATCCTGAGGTCCAGGGAAGTAAATGCTTACATCCGACACTCCTGGATGCACCACAGGATGTACAAGCAACTTGTCACCTGTAACAGGATCATTTACTCTTTAGTACACAAACATCCTGAAACAGTAAAAACGATTCTTTGAAGCATTCTTTTTTCATGTATAAGCATGCTGTTTAGAAGACATACAATAAAGTAAAATATTCAGATTAAATTCAGAATTCACACCAATGAAACATTTGGTGAATTTTAAATTATTTGGAATACATAAGTACGATGTATACATCAAGTGGCATCCAATTAAAAGGATAATAAAGGAAGAATGAAACTAGATTAATAACCATTACTGCAATTCAAATTAGGTAGTTATTCAAGAGGTTTCCATGCCAAATTTCTGGATGCATTTCTTACTTCATCAGTGCTGTTTACATTTGGAAAGTTTCTCAATATCTGTCATTCCTCACTTACATCATCAAACAATTTCAAATTATAAACTCTTACTAAAAAATTATAAAAAGTTTTATTAATCAGAACCATATCATAAAATGCATAACAGACTACTCACATATAAATTAGAAGTCATTTATAAGAACTGTGTCCACCATTTTCTGTACACAATATGAAGCGTAGAAAACACAACTACTGCTGTGGACAAATTTCTTCACATTTCCTTTGAAGCACATTAACTATAATGCACTATCCCTGAACAATTCAATATTACTTAACTTCTACATCTGATATAATACAATGAAATATGCTAATATATACAAAATTAATGTTCTGACACAGAAATTTCATAATTAATCCAATGTTTATCATCCAAAGCAAACTACAAAACCTCTACATCTGATATGATCTCATTAAGACAACAAATATAAAGATTTCTGTCTTCTGGGTTGTTGCGCTGTGTAGTCTGGTGATGTTTACCAACATTTCAGAGGTCATGCTGCCTCTGTCATCGCCCTGATGAAGGAGGCAGTATCACCTCTGAAACATTGGTAAACATCGACCAGACTACACAGCGCAACAACCCAGAAGACAGAAATATTCATAATCACGGCTGTGAAAACCTCAAATCTTACACATCAAATATAAAATTACAAATTTAATATAGAAATGTAATAACTCACCCAACAAGTATTCATCATCCAAGGCAAATGTAGGCACTTCTGAAGGATATTCAGCCCACAAAGGACGCATCACAGGAGCACCACCTTGTTCATGTTCAAAAAATAATGTGTACCACAAAGGTAGGAATGAATACCGTTTGCGTATAGCATCTCTTATAAATGATAATGTATGCTCATCAAACAGCCATGGTTCACGCCTCTTGGTATCGATATGGGAATGTGTTCTGAAGAATGGTTGAAAAGCTGCAGCCTAAAAAAATATGTTCAAGGTGATTATCTATGAGAGACAACAGTGTACATAAGATAAAAATTCTATATATTAAATTGTGACAGTTTCACATTCATGTTCAAATAAAATATGATTCTATTTTTGAGAAACTGAAGTATTTATAATCAAAACTACATTTTTCCTAGTTTTGAAATTGGTGTCCAGTGTTTATTACCAGTTCAGCACAATGCTGATGTCACTAGTATCAATTCCTATGCTCAGCATGTAAGTCTGCAGTAAAAATGACATAACTTGAATTTAATTAATTAAAAGTTCATATTTTTCAGTCCAAATATTTAAATTCAAAGAGGCTGGCATACAATTAGGCTTACTGATCTGACAGATCAAGTTATTTGCATTGTATGTTTGTAGCTCACATTCTTGCTCCTCATTTAGCAATTCCTGCACATAGTTTGTGATATATCTGACTTTGTAGACATCCTAAAATTCTGGCATGTCATACAGGCACAAAATGCCATGAAAATGTATTCATCTGCAAATAAGTTTTGTGTTTTATGATAAATCTCTCATACCATTTTTTTAATATTTAAATCAAAGCATTTTACAACAGACCACTTTGTTTGAAGGCATAACATATTTATATGAAATAACAAGATATATACACTGTCAAATGCATAAAAAACATATACCACTTATTTGTTGTGTTTCATGAAGAAACATGGACTAGCATGCATGTAAGTTACATGTACATAAATATAGTCTGTCTAATAGGGATGAAAAGAGAACTTCCTGATAAGGCAGTGAGAGAGTTAGTACTAGAACATTCTTATGTGTTTACCTGGTACCATCTGACAAACAGTTCAGCATCTGGACTTTTAAAAAATCCACCCACATCTGCTCCACAAAATGAGATGCCTGCCACAGACAGTGACAGGCACATGGGAATAGTGATCTGGAGATGACCCCATTCTGCTGTGTTATCTCCAGTCCACACAGAAGTGTAACGCTGCGAGCCTGCATAATGAGATCGTGTCAGAATAAAAGGTCGGAGTTTACCACCTGACCGCTGCAGTAAGCCTTCATATGTTGATATCGTCTGAAATATACAAACACACACATATGATATTTGCTACTGATCTTCTCACTGAAGCCTTATAAATTTTCACAGAACAGTTCTATCACTGCTACAGTAAACTTTCATATGATGATATCTAAAACATACAAATATCAAACATATCTTCTGAAACATACACACACAAAATGTATTTTCAACTGTTCTGCTTTACTATTGAAGCATCATCAGTTTTATTACAGAAAAATTTTAATATCACAATACTAATGACACCGATAAGCTATGATGGGCATTTTGGCAGTTTCCTGAATGGTGGTAAAAGCACTGAATTATTTGCATGTGTGTACAGAACATAAGTAGAATGGTGTGGAACTATGGATAGAGAAAGACTGTGAACTTTGAATGCACGGATGTGAGGGCAATGATCAGAACAAGTGAGCAAATCAACCAAAATTCTTAACATTTAACTAAGAATCTAAATTAACCTTCACTAATTAGAAATATGTGGAATGGACCATCTGAAACATTTTATTATAATTTACACTGTCATTAAAATTTAAATTATAATAATTATAGTGTAATAAATAAATAGCATAGCTCATCATACAAGCTATTTCAAGCTTCAAACAGAGACAACACTAGCAGCATAACTATATAAAAAATTATCACAAATATAAGCAAACTATCCACCCTTTCACATGGTTAGTGCTACTAGTGTTACATCAACCAAACACACAAAATTCCCTGGAATTACTTCATAATAAAGGACAATATAATTCAAGAGAGGGGGGAAAAAAGGGGCAGAGTGGTTATTTAAGCAAAACCTGAGGCCAAAATATTGCTGGGCACATTATACAATAACAGTGTGTGTCCCAAGTCGCATAACCTCAAGTTGAATACCATGTTTATTAGCCATATCAGACGAGTTACATGAAGTTTCAACATATTCGCAGAAAGTCTGTGAACAGTGGTATTGTTGCTTTTCATAACTATTTTGTATAGCAGCATCAGGAAAGTGAATCTAACTGCTTGACATGACTGTGCTTGAATATTACAAGAACAAACAAATGCAATGCTGTTGAAAATGGCATTATGCATGTTAGAAAAACAATACTAAACAGCAATGAATATGAAAAAATTGTGTCAAACCACTGACTACCTTTCAACTTCAGGTTATGACCAATGGGACACAATGTACAAGATTAAATAAAATGACAGCTCACAAGGCCGACCCAGTCTGCCAACCAATAGCATTTGAAGCTAATTAGGGTGAGTGTAAAGCTGTCCACCTATCTCTTTCCAGTTCTTACTTTAAGAATACATGGAGCTTTACCTTATTTCATATCTGTATACATAATTATTGCTTAGGCATATGAGTGGGGGAATACCCCTACTTTCTGTTACATTTAATTGCATAATATTCTGATAAAAAGATTTCTCTCATACCACTATTTCCAAAAACTGTAGTAATTTTTTAAAAAAAACATACATGAAGCAAACCATAAATATTGTGAATATCACGATGTTCCCAGCCTCCATAATGCAGACAGTCTTTATGCATTGTAACCTCTGGTCCATTAAAAACTGATGGTTCATTCATGTCATTCCATATGTACAAGTCTAATGTTGAACCATGGTAATTTTGCAACAAATATTGTGAAGAAAGGTAACTGCGAACTTCTGGGTTCAAAAGATCCAAGTAACTTGATGACCCTGGCCAGCACCAACCTGAAGCAATCACAAATAATAAACAGAGATGGGAAGACAAGAAAGATATATTTCTTTTCAGTTCAGAACATAATGTTAAAAATATTCAGATTTAGAAAATGGTTATGTAAAGAAAATTAGGAAACTTATTACAAAACGATTTCTGCACCAGAAGTGTCCCAAAAAGAAAAAGAAACTTTTACAGCAAAAAGTGTTGAACATATTTCCTAAACAGTAATTTCTTCAGGTCCAAGCTCAAAGTGATTGAAAAAATGACAGCTCCATTCACTACACTCATATTCACTGCATAAATACACAGAGATTGTATTTATCCAACTATCACGTGCTGCTGAATAAGACATGCACACCGATTTTTACAGCATTTTAAAGAAAATAATTACTGATGTATGATTTAAACAACACCATGATACTAGAAAAGTAACAGGATACACGGACCACCTTGTAAAACAAGCACTAGAGATCTGCCTGCATCACAACTTTAATAGGAGTGTAAGTTTCACTATGAGCCAAATACAGTACCCTGGGACAAATATGTTTTGGTAGTCCAGCGTAACTCAAATAAGAAAGTAAGCCCAAACATTGCAAGCACTTGACTTTGCCCGAGTTGTGACTGGCTCGGGTCCAGCCATGAGCATCAATCTTGGGCAGGTATATATAGGAGATGTTTGAGGCATTTGGTCACATCTGAACCCTAATGACGGATGGACAGAGGGACAAAGATGGTGTTCAATATGCCAGTCTCTTCTTTTAACCAACTGATGTGGCTGATTGCCTAAGAGGATTTTATTGACAAGAATTATTATCTGAATGGCAATATTAAAATACCAATAAGTAAGCCATTGCATCACCAGGCGGGGCTTTTTTATTTTATTAAAAATAATAGTCAATTTTTTATATATTATGAACAATACATATTTATTAGGCATAGAAATCAAATTTTCCAAGTTGTTTAAATTTTTAGCTACTTTACTAACAATTTCACATTTTTTAAACATTTATCATTTGATTTCTCCAGCTATTTCCATTGGATTTAGTTCAGTAATTCATGAAAAATTCTTTTTAATATCTTGCGGGACTTACTGTTCACACATTTCAAGAACTAATTTGCAATTCCATCAAGGTAGTTAGGAGAAAATCATTATGCCAAAAACCTACTGTTCTGTCTTGCGTGGTTGCCTGTTTCTCCCCTGCCATCCAAATCTTGGGGTAAGTGCACATACTACGACTTAGAGCTGCATCACAGTGTTAATTTTTTTTTTGCTAGATGGCAGTACGTTCCATTGAGGCATGACAGAAATAGAGTGCACACTGAGAAACAGTATTTTTTTTTGAAGCATGCATATATGCACACTCCCCATCATGCAGGCCTTAACTATCCATGCATGTATAACCAGCACATTATTTATGAAGGCTTTTAAAAAAAAGTATAGTATTTGAATAAACATTGTTTTATATTCGTATGGGAAGAAGAAAACTTTAAAAGTTGCTCACCTTCAAAAACTTTTCCATCTTTTGTTTTCACATAGTAGTCATTGTTTTCTGCATCATTATGGAGGAAATAATTACTGTCTCTTTTAATATGGGGATCAACTATAGTCACCAATTTTCTACCCTTAGCTGTTAAATTATTAATCATTTCTGTGGCCTGAGAAAATTTAATTGGATCCCACGTGAAGTACCTGACAAATAAAACAAACACATTATTAATTATACTCCATACAAAGTGCTTTTCATACAAATTATGCTATGATAAAGAGACTTGAATACAAAGATGTGAGAAAGGATACATACATACATACATCTTTATTACATTCCATGGATCCATAAGTTAGTCAGATGACAACAGGATGTAGAATAAGTCATAATAATACAATACATGTTATACAAATACAAGTCATACTATTATATAAATATCACAAAAATACAAACAAAGGGTTCACATGAAGTAGAGATAAGTTACAAATAAATCCACCCATTATATACAATAGATAAATTACGACTTACTTGTAAACATTAGAAATTCATCAACAGAGTAAAAGGAGTGTGTAATTAAGTATCTTTTCAATGCTGGTTTAAATTGTGCCTTTTTATTTACAAGACTTGTGAGATTTGATGGTAGACTGTTGAATTACAATTAACTGTTATCAATAAAAACCAGGTAGGCTATGATCAAAATTCATCATATTTATAAAATTAGAAAGGAATATTATAAAAAAATGGTTGCTAAGAAATACAATTTCAATGTGAACAGATGAGAACCTAGGAACTTGCAGTAGAAATTACAGCTCATTATACTACTGTCACATTTAATACATACTTCTTACTGTCTGTATGCTCAATATCCAGCCACATAACATCATTAGGAATATCATATTCATCCATTTTGTTATCAACATTTCTCACATCATCCTGGTCATTGTAATTCCAGCGACACTGGTGATGTGCCAAAGCAAAATACTGAAACAGTAAGACAATAAGTAAAAGACGTGTGAAACTTGAGACTTCAAAATTTTGTTGTCTGCATAATATGCACTTCCCTGAAAACATGTTTGATTGTGTCAGTGTTGCTGACATGTGACTTATCTTCGGTAATATGATTTCTCCAATTCAGGCAGGTGCTCATCAATTTGCAAACCCATGAATTTTGTATTTACTGATTCATGCATATACTTTCTATTATAACCAATACTTAAAGCATATGTGGTGAGCTATTTGTTATAAATTTAATACATTTGTTTTATATACCTGAGGTAACGGAGCAGTTCCAGTCAGCTTTGTGTATTGTCGGAACACATCCTTTGGTTTTGGACCAAGCATGAAGAATGTATCTATGATGCCACTCTCAGACATAAAGTGAGAATCAACCTGTGGTGGAGTGGCTGATCCTGACACAAAGTTCACTATTGAAGAAACAACATTTTGGTCAGCTGTACCCAAAATATCTACCCAGGTTTCAGCTGCATTCAACCAAAACATACCAACGGTGTGGGTACTCCTGGAACAGAGACCAGGAGGATAGCTGGTTTCAGAAGATACCTACAATCCCTTGCAGTTCTTTATTAAAATCAGTATAAATTAATGGCCTGCTTAGAGTTCATGAGCAAAAAATAAAATTAAAACACTAAAACAATTACAAAGACTAGTAAATACTGAATTTGTAAATGTGCATTTCTTTATCTCCTTTATTAGTCACATGTTGCAAACAGATCACTGTACTGACAGTATATTTAGTGATGGCTGCAACGAATCCTGCACAATTGGCCAATGTTAATGTTCATTATACTTACAAGATATGCATTTGGGTCAAAATTATATATAGTGGGTATTCTTATAAGCATGTTCATTCACCTTCCCACAGAATGAAACCTGTTGGGACGTTTTTTATTGTTTATTTGCATTAAAGGACTCAAAAGCATGTGCATAGGAAAATGGGTCAACATGATCAGCACCCATGAAGCAAGCATGAACAGTAATCATACAACTATTTCTACTAGAAACTGCATATGTACTCACCCATGTGCTATAAGAACAGGTACTGAACCATACAAAGCCATTGCATTATTTAGCTCATACTCAAACACGTCCAGGTTGTACAGTCGATATGGATCCATATTCCTGAAACCAAGATAACATGGAGTTCAAAACCTTCTTCAGTTTCTTTAGGATGCTAAACCAAAACTAGTGAAGACATATAGCACACTGCAAATTAATATCTAGAACGCGCTTTCATAACTAGACAATAAGATCGCATCTTCAAAAGCAGTGAGTGACAACTGTTGGAATGATTTCATAACATGCATAATCCTACAGAAAGTTATATGCAAGTTTTTATAGCAATTTAATATAGTTACATAAAATATTATAAATTTTAAAAAATCTATTCAATGAATTTTCTCTTGACCATGAAGACATGCATAAATATCCAAACATTAATAATAAAGACTACAGAGTGTATGCTGATGGACAATATATGGTTACATATTAAATAAATAAGCTAATAAATGGACTGAACATGTAGCTGTTACGAGGAAACAAATCTATATAAAATCCTGGTGACAAACTCTTGGAAGGTAGCCACTTGGGAATATAGGATTGAGATGGGTTAAAATTAAAAGGGATCTGAGAGAAATAACATGATTGGAACTGATTCAGGACTGCAGTTTCAGAATTTCATTCTTTATAGAAAGATACTTCTATTGCTGCATCCATTGAAATCCAGATTTTGTTGAGATTCTGCAGTAAAAAGGGATGAGAAACAATAACCAAATGTAAAAGATGACTTACTTTGTTGATTTAAGAGCAAAGGAATCTGCATGTTCTGGTATGCCATATGCATAATGAGCACCAATAAATGAGAAATCTAATGCCACAGCTGTGGGACCATTTGGTTTTGTGTCATGGTGAGACTTAAAATTTTCTTCCCATGCTCCAGGATCAGAAACAGTGTCATCATGGTGTGGACCATCTTCACCCTCAGTCTTTTCTCCACCTTCACTTCTATAAACAAAATTACAACAATGCTACCGACAGGCTTACTTAATTTTTATTGTTAACAAAAAAAGCACTTCTAATCTGAATGGTAATACTAATATTACAGTAAGAAGCAAAAAAATATCAATGGCATATCACTGTACTAACTGCAAACCTACAATTAAGATATCACCTAAGTTAGATACATTATTGAACTTCGTGGCTCAGTGGTTGTACTCCCGCTCCATATCAAGAGGTCCCAAGTTCAAATCTTGGCCAGCAGACCAGCTATTCTAACCAATGATTTTTGTGGTTTTCCTCAGTTCCTCTAGGAACATGCTACAATAGTGCCCTAAATTAGGCCATGACCACATTTTTCCAATACATTATTAATTAATCATGCTACTATTCAATACGATATAGACTGAACAACTGAATGTTGATAAGTAAATAAATCATATATATGAAGAAATTTCTAGATAAAGAAATTTAGTTTTAAAGAACAAGTAACTACAGAACTTGATATATCTGAGGATCCTAGATTAGACATTCTGACAGGAAATACTACCTTACATATAGAATTTATAGGAACAGATTCAACTATCAGTAAAATCGGTGTATTTGTAACACTGCAGGCTGAAATTCACAGTACAGTTTGAATTTTCACAAGTCAAATATAAAAATGTAAGAACTGACAAATGAAACCTTGGGGTGGTATTGTTAATACATCATGATATTGGTTAACCTGCTATACAGGTATATGCAATGTATAATTTGACAACACTTCCAATAGATCACAATCACCGTTAGACTGCAGACAATGTATAAACATATGCATGTATTTTATTATTAATCTTATCAACAAAACAAACAAATGAATTACTAATCATAAATGGATTGGTGACAGAACAGCACAGATTCAGAAGGCTTCGAATTTGTATTACAAACTGATCAAAAAACATAAAAATTTAATTAGGCCTGCATGTAAGTGCCCCTTAAAATCAATGAGAGTGCAAAACACATTAGTAATACTCTTACATTAAAGGAAAAATATATGGAATCTCACAAAAATCTGTTAAGGAATTAATATACAAAAAAATTCGATTATGACCTTAAAAGGCTGAGCTTAAAATTAAAGTTGATAGAACTTACAAATTTACTGAATTAGATTGCTACATAAATTAACCCTGAAAATAAAATACTGTATACTCACTGTTCTGGTTTCAGGCGCATATGTTCAAATCTCATAAGTCCCCTGGCATTCACAGAAATCACAAGTTCATCTCCAGAGAATAAATCTACATGAAATGGAATAGCATGAACAGTAACTTTATTTGCTCCAGCTTCAACGGAAACAAGTTCAGCTGTCCTCTCTATGACTTTCAACCTGTCACAGAATACAAAAATCATTGGTCAGAAAGACAAAGACATCACATTACTAAATCACTGTAAGAGGACTTTGTTATAAAAAGAGGTCCTGGAATGAAATAAATGCAAACAGAGAAACTTGTTCATTTCACCAACCATTTAAAACAGTGCCTGTGTGCCCTGGAATTAAGTGCAAAGAACTCCAAAATATCACATTAGGATTCTATGCATATGCACAGAGTCTTTACAGATGAACTTGCACTGTAAAATGTAACAAACAGCTTGATGGTATAAAATCACACTGAATAATGTAGTTATTGCAAGCATGAAAAGATATTACAGCACAACCATCACTTTGTAATCACTCAATAACACTAAACACTGAAAACAAAGCCTTCTGTTAATCCTCTTCCTTCTATAAAGTAAGTACGAAGTTGTTATTTAACCACCAAGATGCAAGTTAAAAACATTTGTTAACATTATCAAGGTTGCAATAATATACTTGTTGGACATTATCCACTGTTCCATCTTTAATTCATAAATATTTCTTTAATGACACGATGGTTTCTGACTATCCTATTCAGAGTTTATACTGACATTCCAAGTTGTTTCACCAAATAAACACAAGGCATCCATATGTTTATTAAAGTCCTGGTGTATGTTGAGTGTTTATTCTAAGAAAATGCCTTTTCTTTCCTTTTGTGTTGTCACCATGCTATATCAAACATGCAAATTTAAATAAAAGAACTGCAGTATATGCAGCAGACTCAGATAACAGATTAAATAACAAAACTGGAAAGGTGTAATCAATACTGGAATACACACATATTCTTTGCCAATTCTAAATTGTTCATAAACGATCACATCAGTTACCTTATTTAGACAACTTCAGTTTCCAACTGTACAAATCAAAATGTCTTCTTTAAGTAATGTAAATCACTACAGACATGTTACAAGTTGCATTAGCTCTATGGTAGCATAATGGACTCATGTGCATGGGGTCACAGGATTTAATAATGGACAAGTAAACATTTTCTCTTTGTTGATATTTTAAATAAAACAAAGAATTACTACACCAAAGTCTTGTTTTTTTCCAAAAATCTATTACCATACATAATTGTAAGACCCCACTGTAAGTGGCACTAGTGCTCATCCCATCTCATAAGTTTGTTCATCTGCCATGTTGGTATTACCGATTACAGGAAATTGAGAAGCACAATTTTATGGTAATGCCCAATGACATAATAACCACACCAAATTTCACATGAATCTATCCAGCAGTTCTCAAGTTTAATCATGCAGACAGACATCACCAGCCCTATATTGCATTCACTTCATGCACTTTATGCAAATAATGCATAATAGGTTAACTTGAAAGTGTTCATGTATTGAAAGCTAAAATAATGCTTAATGATGCTTCCAATACAGCAACTAACTCATCAAAGCAGCCAACAGTTAATAAAAGTTCATAAGGGAAAAAGAAATTAGAGTAAAATGACACACATGGCAGGACAATTACTGGAATTGAAAAAAGTATCATGTAAATTACAGGAAAAAATTCATCCTGGAATGCAAATACAAAGGTTTACTGCATTCAATTTATAAGTTTAGCAATAGGTAATTGTAACTAGATACAATGAGGTCATCTAATACAGCCTCCACACATTTCAGTAAAATTCAATTATGACTTCTGTTAGCCAAATCTTATATTATCTGCATTACACACAATTATTATGCCACAAATCCTACAAATATCTTACTGCACTCACTTATTCAACAATGGTTCACCCTGAAGAGCATACTGTACTTCATATCGAGGTTTAAGAGGAGCCCATTCATTTATCTTCATCCTAAATGTTCCATCTTGAAGTGCAAAGAGCTGAAAACGAAATCTAGCACCATTCTCAGTATTAACCATTTCAGCTTCAATGCTTGATGGTTCAACTTTCAATGTATTTAGATGAAGTTCATAACTTGATTTTCCAGGTTGAACACCTCGGCACCTCCTAAAACCGAATAAAAATATGACTTCTTAATGAACCTACTGTAACAGCAAAAGAGACATCAGCAATTCGCTAAAAAGATTAACAAAAGTGACACATTAAACAAACAGTAAAGAGCAAATCGGTTTCATATTTTACTAATACAGGAGTAAACACTGGTCATTTATGTGACACTAAATGGAAACAGAATAGGATGATTCTCTGTACTGCTGCTAAAATTTCCTTCCCTTTAACAGACATAACTTTCGTCTCGTGAACATGCTGCAAAGTTTATTTTCACTACATGTAAATGTAAGATTTTCTAATAAAAATGCCTTAATATACCAATTCCAGGCAGCAACAATAGGCACAACACACAATTTAAACACATTCCCTGGTACTTACAGATGATACATTCTTTTAAAACAGAATTTCCTTTAGCTCTTGGTAATACACTCTGTGAAACCATCACAAATCCCTGTCAGTTTTTTGGTACCTGCCTATACAGTGGACTTTTTCCCAGAAGGCTGGCCTGTTATAAAATGTTGCCATATTCTACAATTTAATAAGACAATTTAGTGAGACCCACTTATGTTCATATTATCATATGAATGCTGATAGGAGAAATTAGAAATTATTACCAAGTATATGAAGTAGCTAACAAACTAATGATTCATCAACAGCATAAAAATGTGAGATAGGTTCTCAAAGTACTGAAGACTTCAATGTTTGACTTCTGTGTTGTAATGTCATGTGTGGTTGTAAGATACCAACATTCCAGACAAACATACTGTCTCCATCTTCATCAGCCAAGAAGACCAACACTAACAAAAAATAAACATTTAGAAGGACTTATAGACTTCTGTGGTTTTACAGAAGAATGTGGATGAGATTGCATCTTCTATTTTTTGGGGGGGCTTAAACATAAGTAACTCACACATACCGGCAAAAACTGCTTTGTTGACAGGACTTGAAATTCATTCTATCGACAGCATCTACATAGCAAATGAGGGCAATATCGACAGCTGACAGGAACCAAACTGTAAACCTGGAACAGGAAACAGTATGCAGTCCAGTGTTAAAAAAAGACAACAAACAGAATGAGCGACCTCAGGGTACTGTAGTTGTAGATCCCATCCGTGCTCTGTGTATACCTGACCCAGTTCCATATAATTGGCTGCACATTAGCCAATAGGGCTTGGTGTTCAGAGTGACATGCTTGCTATTTTTGGCCCAGCTTTCCAACTGGATAACACATCACTCTGCATATCAAGTCCTAATGGCTAATGTGCAGCCAGTAACACAGAACTAGGTCAGGTATATACACAGCAAGGACAGGATCTCCCACAACTACAGTACCTGAGGTCGAGAATGAAGATGGTTCTCCAAACAGTGTTTTCTCCATTAAATCAACTTACATGGCTTGTAGCTCGAGAATAATTCCTTATACTTAGTCGCAGAGAAAGCTTAAATCAGAATGAGTGATCTTCATATCTGATGTCTATAGCTTTTGCACCCAGGATTTATCAGAGCTGATCTTCTGAGAAAAATTTATAGTTTAAAGGTTACCACCATTCTGAATATCAGACTTAGAAGTGACATATTTCAAATGTGAAATCTAGCATTATGTTAGAGCAACTACGAGATCCATTGAAGTTCATAATAGTATTACCATAACAATTATTTGTGCAGGTTTTAAAAATATAATATTACAACACTCATACAGTTATTTACTTAAAATAAATTTCATACTAATAAATTTAAAACCTATTTTACAGCAAACATAATTTTTATAAGGCTTTAACTGAATAGACTTTTATTTTATACAATGTTTTGCTTCTGGACTCTATGGTTTGTCTTGCATTACATATTCAATATCACATATTTTTTAAGCCTATGTAAAGAGGTTGATGTAATATCTGAACTACTGTTGTGTTTCTGGGTCTCCTATCATCTACATGGTCTTACGCATTATGTCAATGATGAGTAGTGTGATGATGGAGGTACAGACAGTCCCAAAATATTGAATTTAAACTAATTCACATGGCTGATTGTCCAAAAATACTTCTCTGAATTCAGTTGTCACGAAAGTTTCAAACATTAAATGTTAGCTGAAGTAAGGGTCAAGTGAGACTTACTCAAAACAGTATCACCACATAAATATATTCTCTACTAACAGGTTAGATTCTGAGAGAATGCAGTAGTTGTGTCAATACATTTAACTTTTCATGCCAAAGAAGTATGAAACCAATATTTCTATATACTTCACACACATTACATCAGAACTTAAGCCAGTTGGCAAACTGTTTCAGTCTTCTGCCTCAGACTTTCAAAGGCAGTCATCCTCAGACATACAAATTACCCATCAGTTCACGAAAAACAAACATGCAACTTCCAACAGGCAATTCGGTTGTCCTTCATGAATACAGGAGATTATACTAACAAATCCGTACTCATAATTATATCGGAAAGCAAGAGTCAACGAATGTGCTATGTAAACGTCACCCAGGTG